AGGGGGTATTAGAATTAGAGGAAGGTAAGAGGGGACCAGTAAATAGCTACAAACGGCTGTCTGGGGCGAGGCACATCTATTGTACTTTCAGATGTGGCTGGGCCAACTTGTGCAAGTGATTGAGCTTCTCTAGACTTGATTTCTTCATTTGTAAAGTGGTTACAGTATCTGCCTTACCTGTTTATTGCTATTATTGAGTTCAAGTGGGAGGCCTGCTTGGGGCCTGCGCCCTGGAGGAGTGCTCGGAGATGGGCTCTGTCCCCTCCATCTCAGGTGCCTTGGATGCTCTGGGAGCCAAAGGGGCTTCTGCCCTAGGGCCTCCCTTGGTGACTATGGCCTCACCTCTCCCCTGTTTTGAAATTTTATTAAGATATTGGATAGACCCAGATGAAGCTGCGAGGGGAAACCTCACCTCGGAAGGAAGGGAACCACCACCATAAGTGCACCTCTGGCTAAGAGTTCTCTGGGCTTTGGGGGTGTGAGCAGATGCAGATGGAGGGGGGGCAGGTTTTGTTGGATTACCTGTGGTCAGGTTCACCTGTGCTCAGAACAGAGCTGAGCCCAAGGAAGGACACAGCAGGGGACGGAGTGAGTTACTTCCCAGGTTGGGGGCTGCTGTGGGGTTACAGTCAGACCTCTTCCTCAGCCCTGCAGGTGCCCCAGCCAGAGTGCTAGCTACCTGCACACAGTAGGTGCCTGACAGTCTGGCACTTAATAGGAGCTCAGTTGTTGCTGAGGGTCTGGAGCAGGCTGAAATTACCATGGGCTGAACTGGGGCTTGTGAGCCTCTGGTGTAGAGGCTGTGGAGTAGGCAGGACCCCAGGCAGGGGCGCTGTTCTCCCACCGGCCTGTTTATCCATATTTACATGGAGGGATTGGATTCCATACTCCAGTTGCACCAGAAAGTTATGCAGCAGCCACTCTACTTTGATTAGCCCCTCCAGGTGGTGGCTGTTAAGGGAGGTGTGTGATTCCCTGTGTGTGGTAGAGGCTCAATACTTGGAAAACATTGCTGTGGCTTTTCAAGAAGGATGGCAAAGCGGGTAACCCCAGGCGAAAATGTCAGGGTGGCTGGGTGTGCCTTTCCCAGAGGGATTTTCAGTTCAGTAAGGGCCCTGTCAGGGTGACCCAAGGATGAACCCCCCAGGCCAGCGGGTGGGGCAGCATTTGGGCTCCTGGGTCTGACTGCCCCTGTCGTCCTGTAGCATTCACAGACCTGCGCAGCTCACCCCCTTGTCTCTTCCCTCCGGCAGTTAACCTTACCCCCCTGTCCTGCTGGCCCAGCCCCGGATACAAGAGAACAACCGCCCTGAGAGGGAGCTTGAACCCATTCCCAAAAGGTCTAGCTCCAAGGAGTCGGTGCAGAGAGTCGGGAGCCCCGTTTGAGCGGGTGACCGTAGTAGGCAAATCCCCGGCTCTGTCTACACCTCCGTTTCTGTTCGCATTTTTTAAATGTCCGAATGGAAGTGCGGGAGAGGGAGGGTACTGGCCCTCGAGGGGGTGGGAGCGGTGGGAGCCTCGGGACTGCTGCTCTGAGCCCGACGAACTCCGGCGGGTCCTCCGCGGGCAGTGGGGAGTGGGCCGGGCCTCGTCCCCGCCCGCGTCCGGAGCACAGCGGCGGGTTGGGGCGGAAAGCGGTTGCAGCTGGGGGCAGCTGGCCGCGGAATGTCCCCTGCCGCCGGGCCTGGGAAGGCAGGGCCAGCGGCTTGGGGTGGGGTGGGGGCGGGGCTTCGGGGGGCGGAGTCAGCCGCTTCCGGCCTGGGGCGTGAGGGGCGCGGCGCCGCGGGGTCGGAGCCTGGAACGCTCCAGGAGCCGGATGCGGGAGAGTTGGTTTTGGCGCGCCCCCGAGTCTTTCGGTCACCCCAGCTCCCACTTAGCTTTGGCCGGCCTGTCTCAGGCCAGCCATAAGGACACTAGTATTCGATCAGGACATCTGTTAGTGCCTACTTTGTGCCAGGCACTGGCCCGAGGTGTGCCGGGCCTACCAGGTGAACAGGCCCGGACGTTCTCCAGGTGGGAGGAGGAGGGGGCTCAAGCTTTCAGATCAGTACCATGAGGAAAGTGAAGTTGAGTGATAACTTGGGGTGGCGGTGGAAGTTACTCCTTTGGTTAGAACGACCTCTACTAGGACGCGCGCGACAATTGATCTGAGAGTAGAATGAGAGAGGAGAAACCAGCCTGGCCTAGAGCCAGGGCCAAGCAGGGGGAACGGCAAGTGCAAAGGCCCGGAGGCGGGACTCGGGCGGCTTATGACCCTGGGCGGAGTCAGCGCTTTGGGGAGGAGCCTGAGATTCCTCTGCGAGCCTTGTTCCAGCCTCCCGGACCGGGAGCTCGGTCCCAGGGCCCGCACCCCGCCCAGGTGCCTTTGGCGGGCGACCTGCTCGTGGTTGGAAGTGCGTCTTTCTAGACTGCTTGGACCTGGAGTTTGTGCCATGTGATTACCTGTATGGAAGACTGTAATTTTCCGCTTGTTCCGTGGAGGACCCGGAAACCTCTAGAGTTGTCACCGATGTGTTTTTTTAAGTCGTTTCTGAAATTTCAACTTGGAAGACAGAGTCAGCACGTGCTTTGCGGGAAGGGGAAACCTGCCTGGTCACACCTCTTAGATGCTGGCCTGGACTGAGAGATCCCCCGATCTGGCCAGGAGAGGCACCTGGGTGCCTGCCATCCTCAGAAATGGGCCTCTGTGGCCTCGGACTCCTCGGTGATAACCTCGGCAAGATCCTGGGCCGGGCCGGAGGAGCTGCTCTGTGGAGACCCGGCCGTCCTCGAAAGCCAGATCTGGCTCCCAGGCCCCTGGTGCCCAGACCAGGGTCAGCCCAGAGGTCTATCCCACCGCCAAGGTCTGTGGGTGGCTCTGCCTGGGGAAGGGGGTGCAGGAAACTTCTTGCCCTGTGGGTGGGCACCTCGATGGCTGTGGGTGGAGGCTGGAGGGTGTGGAGCTGTTTCTCCAAGGGGGCCCAGCCCTGGGAGCCCACCCACTCTCTGGCCAGGGCCTTGTTGAGGCCCCACAGCCCCTCCCGAGCAGCCTGGTTTTCACGCTGGCCTCGGGGGAAGAATGGGAGACCCCCACCGGCTTGGAAGGAAGGGGGAAGGTGGGGGCCGGGTTGCTTAACTGGCTCCTCCCTCCTGGGAACCAGGCCCAGCCCTCCCGGGAGCTTCAAGTCTTCAGGATCCGGGTAGAGAGAAGCCCAGTGAGCGGAGGACCAAGGAGGTGGAAGCAGGCAGGCAAAGCTGTGGGGAAGGAGATCTAGGCCCAGGGAGCTGGTGGGGTTGGCAAGGTGGGCTGTGAGGAGGGGCCTTTGACCCCAAGCTGAGGAGCCAGCGAGGGCCCTCGGCTACTGTCCGCTTAGCCTGGGCCTCCCGGCGCAGGTGAGGAGCAGGGTGAAGCCGCGGGGGCTCCTAGCCGCTGCCTCTTGGAGACAGATTTAATAATCCTAGGCTGTCTCTCTGACGGTTAGTACTGCAGGAGGGAAGCTTTAATCCCAAAACTTTTATTGATCCAGACACTAATAAAAAGTAAAGGGTTTTTTGGAGCCAGGTTTTTTCCTTGTTTTCTACTCGACCAAAGAACATCAGAGCTCTAAAACACAAATTTGTTTTCCTGCCTCTCCCTAGGTTTGGGGGGCGGGGTGGGGCTTGGCCGTGTTCAGATTCACCTCTCTAGGAGCCCTCCCTGACCGCGCATGCCTGCAGTCATGCCTCTTCTCCACGGTTAACCAGCTGCCACTGTGCATCTAGTCTGTCCCCTAGGAGGGTTGGGGTGTCACAGAAGCCTTCCTGCTCACCTGAGACCCTGGGGTAGTGAGAGGAGTCTGCTTTAAGGCAGCGAAGGCGTGGCTCTTGACTTCTTGTGTCTTTCTGGGTTTGGTTCTCTTGCTGACCTGTTCTCTGTTTCTGCATGTTTATTTCATAAACTTACTGAGTTGTTGCCAGACCCTCCCTTAGGATGCAGAAAGACAACAGAGCTTCCCTCCTGGCAGGAGAGACAGGCAATCAGAAGTGAGTGGAGAAACACATCAGTAGTTCCAGATGGGGTGATATCAGGCAGGATTTTTGTCTGCTTTGTTCAGCACCTGGATTCCCAGTGCCTAAAATAGTGTCTGGCTCACTGTTTGCACTTAATAAATATTTGCTGGCTGAACGAACAAGATGATGTGAAGGAAACAGCGAAGTGTTTCCGTGGGGAGTAATGGGGGTGGGGCAGGACCTGTTGTAGCCGGGGCGGGGGAGGTCTGGGGGAGGACTGAGCTCCACCGGCCTCCTGAAGCCACCCTTTACGAGAAGGGGGTGGAACTAGAGCTCCTGACTGAGGGAGCAGTGAGTGCAAAGTCCCCGAGGGCAGGAAAGCAGTGGCTTCCAGTTGGGGGAGGGGGATTGCCAGATGAGATCAGAGGGTAGGCCAGTACTCTCCGGACTTCTTTCCCTGGGGAGGAGTTCGGATTTATTCAAATTGCTGTAGGGAGTCACTGGAGGGTTTTTAGCCCAGGACTTAAATAATCTGATTTGCCTTTCTAAAGAGTCCCTCTGACTCCTGGGTGGGGAGGCGGGGTAAGGCCGGTGAAGAGGCGTGGACAGGTGTGAGATTTTAGAGGCTGTAGCGGTAGGATTTGCCGATGGATTGGGTTCTGGAGGCCAAGGAAAGGGAGGGTGGCTGGCTTCTGAGACTCCTGGCTTAAGCTGCTGAGACAAAGCTCCGCTTTGGACATTTCAGACTTGAGGTTCTGTGAGGCGTCAGCATTTAGATATGTGAGTCTGGAGCGCAGAGGAGGGGAGGGCTGGGATAGAAACTTCGGAGTCTTGAGCCCTGGAGGTGCTTAAAGCTAAGGCGTGGATGCGATCACCAAAGGAGAGTGTTTTACTGAAGGAGAGTGCACCCACGTCAGAGCCTGAGAAACTCCAGCACCTGGTGGAAAGGTGGTGCGGTACTGGGAAAGCAGGGCAGTGGCCTGGGAGGGAGGGGAGGCACCTCAGAGGGGGTGGTGGCCTGGGTTTCAGGGAGGGAACTAGCTGTCCTGTTGAGTACGGAGAGGACAGGAACTGTGGTTGGCTTTGGTCACACGAAGACCTTTGGGAGGAGCACTGGGGTCAGGCCAGGTGTGTTGAGTAGAAAGGAAGTGAGTAGAAGAGGAGGCGGCAGGGCCTGAGAAGCGCAGGGCGAGCGGCCCGTCCGGGAAGCCGAGGAGGGTCAGGTGAGGGCTCACACGTCCCGGGTCCTGGTCCCCGTGCACCAGCAGTGGGCCCCTGCCTTGGGCCTGCATCAGGAGCCTCTGAGCGGAATCCCTAGAGATCCGCACTGGGGAGGGCTGGATTGGGCGCCCCCGCCCCCCGCAGTGGTCTTCAGTAGCTCTCTGAGCTCTGTCTCCCTCTCTCCTTGGAGGGCTCGCTTTCCGCTCTTGCAGTCACCCAGCCCTGTGCTCCCCACTCCCTGCCCCATCTCTCTGAGTCCGGGGCGCCTAAGGAAGAGCACTGTGCACCTGGCTTTCCTCAGAGGGCCCTTCCGCCCTTCCCAGAGCTGAGAGCGGGACTTGGTCTGCACCGGTGGCTTTGCTCTGGAAGGTTCCTTGGTGTGTTTGGCCTCCGGAGAAGTCCGAGGTCTTATTTCAGAATATTTGGGTAGCTGGGACCTTGACCTCCCCGCAGTGCTTGGCCGTGCGGTGGGGTCGGGGTGCGGGTTAGAATGTGTTTGGCTTATTGGGGAGACAGTGTAGGGTTGGGGACAGCCTAAGCTCTAATGCTCCTGTTGAATGAGTGACACCCAGATATTTGAGTCTTTGGGTTCCCCAGTGGTTTTGTTAAATGCTTTCTCTGTACCTGGTTAACCAGTGTTTTTACACCTGTTATCTTCCGAGGATAGTGTATTTCCTCATTTTGTACCTGAAGAAACTGAGCTTCAGGAAAGTGGAAGAACTTGCCCAAAGTCCCACAGTTGCTAAGGAACACAACTAGAATTGCCACTCAGCCCCGCAGCCCTCCCAATCACGCCACTCCTGACTGACTGATTAACCCTATAGATGAGGAGGTGATGGTGGGTGTAAGGGGCCTGGTCCCCCACTGCCCCTCAGGAATAGTGGCCATGTGCTCTGCTGGGGCTGCAAGGCATGCCTCCTGCCTCCTAGCCCCTGTTTCCTCCAGTGCTCGTCTCTCCCCCTTCCCCCCTCCCCCTCCCCCAGCACACACACCAGTTGCTTTAGGCTCCAGGAAGATGGAAAGAGGCAGACCTTGAACTTGATCAAGCTCTGGGGACCCTTGGGGCCCAGGGAGCCCACAGCTTCTGGGAGGCTCTTTATGCCGCAGGGCTTGCACGGCTGCTAAACTTGGCAATATGGAAAGCCAGCTCAGCTGCAGCAAGTCCCCTGGGAGACACCTGAGGAGGCGAGGGCCCGCCCCTCACTAGGGAGTGGGGAGACTGAGGTCCAGAGCTGCCTGGGTGGGGCTGGGCTCTACCTGGAGAGGTGATGCCTTATGCTGCCTCCTGACAGGCCATGTGGTTTTGCGCCCTTGCACCCTCTCCCTACCCAGCAGACCCCAGTTAGCCTGGGGGGTGGGGTGGGCCAGAGTCAGGCTGTTTTTATGTTGCAAAGAATTCAGGCTACAGCCCAGCCTTTCTCAACCTTTATGGCCTTATGACCTGGATGCTTCTGGAGGACGGTGGGCATCTGGGACATGCTAGAGGGCGGTCTTGCCTGGTAGTCACCGAGGGTCCCAGTTGGACCCCCTCTTTACAGAGATAGACTGCGGCCCAGAGAAAGATGTGACTTTTCCAGGGTCACTACCCAGGAAGCTAGTTTCCCACTTTGTGTCTCCCAGCATATCCTGGGGCAGCGTCCTTCACCGTAGCTAAACCTGCCGGTCTTTATTAAGTGCTCACTGGAAGCCAGGCTTTGTTCTGTAACTCATTGACTCCTCACAGCAAGCCCGTGAGGCTGAGTACTATTATTATTGCAGAGAGCGAAACAGTCCCAGAGAGGTGACATGACTTGTCCAAGAACAAAAGGTCGCAAGTGGCACAGTCCAGATTTGAACAGTCTGGCTTCAGAGCTCATGTTCTTAACCACCAGGCTACACGGCTTCAGACTTACTTGACTGCCAGGCTCCAAAGAAGCGTACTGAGGGTGGTAAACCCTTGGATGACCTGGGCCCTGCAGAGTTAGGTCTGAGGACTCCGCCTGGCCTTGGCCTTTCTGATAGGATGGCTGTACAGCACCTATGGGCTGCCCAACCACTCCTGGTGCCCGGAAATGACCCATCTTTCTTGCAGGGCTTGCTAGCCCAGGTACTGAGGCCCAGGCCGTCACGTCTCTCCTTTCCTCTCCCCTGCCCACCCTTGGAGCCTAGGGGCCCCAGGAGAGCCCCCATCCCTGCAGCCCCGCCTCTTCCCTTCCTTTGGACCTTGGTCTGCTTGCCTGAACCCTGAGGTTGGAAGGACGGCTCCCTTACCTGCCCCCTCTGACTGTAGAGCCTGTTTGGGAAGGGACGAGGGCCTGGCTGTTGGATGCCCCACTCCTGCAGGGGCTGCGGACCCCCTCTTTTCTCCTCCCTCTCCTTGCCTTTCCTGTGCCTCATGATTTCCAATCTTCTCATCTGTGAGAAGGGGGAAAGAGTAGAACCCGCCTCACAAGGTTTTGAGGCCTAGACTGAAAGCCCAGTGTTTGGGCACCTGCGACAAATGATTCCTCCTCCTCACCTGCGTATTTGAAGGCAAGATGCTAGTCGATATGGAACGGGAGGGGCCTCTAGAGGGAGCAGGTGGGAGAAGAATCCTGGCTTTGGCTGACCTCACGTGGCTGGGCCCTGGCTGGGCCGCCCTGTGCCATCCTGGGCGAGTCAGGAGCCTCTGCCCGCCGCATCTTCCTCCTCCGTAAGATGAGTCCAGCTGCTGCCTGTCTTGTGGTGTGGTTGTGAGGAGTAATGAGATGCTGCTGTGAAGTGCTGAGTGCTGTGCCGGCCCGTTGTGAGTGCTTAAAAACTCTGCCCTTCCCACTCTTATTCTTGAGCTGTAGCCTCCTTGTTTTGGGGTTTTGGGGGTGCTTCAGATGAAATTCGGATTTTTACTATCGTGCGTTTTGTCTAAAATCTTCCCAAGGCCTCTAATCTGATCATGACTTTTGAGGGATTTTTGGGTTTTTGCTGTCTTGTTTCCTGTACAGAAAAAGAGAGGTGTGTCTTTAAGTCCCCAGCAACCCAAGTGGGACACTGGCCCTTTAAAAGCACATTACTGAGAGTTGGAACTTAGCCTTTGTTTGACTAGCTATGATCAGTCCCAGCGGACAGGGCTGGAATGGTATGTCTAAGACCAGAGCAGGGCCGGACTGGCTGGGCCCGGTGGGGGACAGCGGGCAGCGGGGTGGCTGGCCTGGGCCTGGAGAGCCTGGTGGCCGCGCTGAGGGATGGTGAGTGACCTGATGGCCTGAGCGGAGGTTGGGGTGAGGGAGGCCAGGAAAGAAGGCAGGAGGGAGGCTGCCAGTCTCAGCCCCTGACCAGCCTCCTGGGCCCAGGGAGAACTGAGGTGGGTGGGAGCGGCCGGTCACAGAGGATGCCCAGTTTCGGGAGGGACTCAGTCATTCCCCAGCGATGGTGCCTCTGCCTCTCTGTGGACGTCCACCACCGGCCCAGAATGTGGAAGCAATTAGGATGGCCCGACAAAAAGCGAGAAACCGAGGAGTGGTGTTGCTGTTTTTAGTGTTTGAAAGAGAGGAAACCCAGTGTCAGTGGCTCCTTTCCACGAGCAGGCCTGGTGGTCTCTGTGGCTGCACCGAGAACCGAACCGGGAAATGAGCTTGGCCTTTGCTCTGAGTCGCCGAGCCCGGGGCTGCCCTGGGTGGGGCTGCGCTGGGGTTTGGGGGTCGTGTCATCCCTGCCCCAGCCCCGGGTCCCAGCTGGACTCTTCTGTTTCCCTCCTTCTCCCTGCCTCTGTCTGGTCCCTGATCCGTTGGCCTGCAGGCCGGCGGTGTGTCTAAGCCTGGGGTATTTTTTGCTCCAGCTTAAATGTTTGAAACGGTTGTCCGGAGCCAGGCCCCTGTGATGCGACAGTCTCTACTGGGGAAGTACCCCATCACCAGAGAAGTCGGGGGTTTGGCTTGTCACACACTGTCCTGTGGAGGGGTTGTGAGGGGCAAATGAGCCGCTGCTGTGAACTGCCAGCCCTGCGCCTGGCTTCTTACAAGTCTCCGTGTCCCTTAGTCCTGCCCACGTTCACTACCACTGCTGGGGTGCTGCCGGTGGATCAGACTCCTACAGCTATGTGTCCTCACCATTTTCCAGACAGGTGACAAAGGCAGGGCTCAGTGGAGTTCTGGTGACCCACGATTTTTTTACTTGAAAGTTGGTGCATTTAATCACACAATCTCTGTAGGTTTGGTGAAAGCCTGAGGCGTTGACAGGCAGTGAACAGAATTTAGAGTTGGAGCCCAGATGCCAGGCCTCCAGCCCTGCCCCGGTGCCTGTGACCTGTGACCTTGGGCAAGCTGCTGGACCTCCCTCCCTGAGCCTCCAGTTCGCAGGGGTGGAGTGCTTAGGGGAAACCCTGGAGGAAGGTGTCGGTTCTTCTGGGGTGGGGGGTGGGCAGCACGGAGGGGTGGTCTTTGAGCTGGGCATTGATGGATAAGGCGCACTTGCTGCTGGGCACATTCTGAGTGTATGTGCACAGCCCAGTGTGGCTGGGTTGGGACGCACCTTGGAGGCTGTATTTAAGGCGTTGCTGGTTGGAATCCTGTGGGCTGGTGGCAAATGACAGGCCGGGCTAGTTTATCCTAGAGTCAGCGGGGGAGGGGGAGGGGGGAAGGGGGTGGGCTCTTGGAGTCGGTGGGGGGGGGGCGGGAAGAGGGTGGGCTCTTGGAGTCAGGCACACTCTCTGGCCTTGGGAAGCTCCTCACGGCTTCAGGGCATGTTTCCTTAACTGTAGTTGGGCGGCTGGGCCACATGAGCAATGGAGTCCGCTAAATGCGGAGCCAGGGCTTCCCTGGTGGCGCAGTGGTTGAGAGTCCACCTGCCGATACAGGGGACACGGGTTCGTGTCCCGGTCCGGGAAGATCCCACATGCCGCGGAGCGGCTGGGCCCGTGAGCCATGGCCGCTGAGCCTGCGCGTCTGGAGCCTGTGCTCCGCAACGGGAGAGGCCACAACAGTGGGAGGCCCGCGTACCGCAAAAAAAAAAAACAAGAAAAACCCGCGGAGCCAGGGCCTGCCTGGTGCACGTGCCAGGTGTGTGGGCTGTCGTGGGTGAGGCGGGAGCTGGAGAGCCACGGATGGGTCACTAGGAGCAGGAGGAACTCGGCAGCCATGCCCTGCTTTTGACATGCGTTTTTGCCTCTGCTGGCGGCCTGGGAGCCTGTGGCTTATTGTCAGCAACCCCCCCCCGCCCCCCCCCCACCCCACCCCCCCCCCCCCCACCCCCCGCCCCGCTCCTGCTTTTTTGCTGCTGTTGAGCACTCCTGGCTGTCTCCTGTGAGTTTCGGTCTGGGAAGCGGAGCTCTGATGCCCTGCTGGGACTCCCAGAGACCAGGCTTTGGGAGGATGGGGAGCTGGGGTCCCAAGGCCCCCAGGCTTAGCGCTGGCATGCTGGAGGCACTCAGTAACTATATACTGGGGCGCTGGATTAACTCAAACCAGGCGGGGTGGGTGTTCGCATATCAGACCTCCATCAGGCTCTGGGAGGAGGGCAGCGCAGCCCACTTGTCAGGTGAGAAAACTGAGGAACACTCCCTTGGGCTGCAGGAGAGACCAACCCGAGGTCTGTGCTCCCTTGGCCCATGCCCCTTCCCCTTCGTGTCTTTGCCTCGTCTCCCTGAGGCCACAGAGCCCCCCTCTCCTAAGTGGTGGCGGGACAGGAGATGGGCATTGCTGCTAGAACCTAGGGTGCCCGTCTCTCCTTAAATGGGGACGTGGAGGTGCCTACTTAAAGGAGAAGTGCTGCAAGGTGGGAAGGGGCAGAATGCCCAGGGTAAGGCAGGGCTCCCTGCGTGTCAGGTTACACCTGTAGCACCAAAGGTGATGTCTTCCCCATTTTACAGATAAGGAAACTGAGACGTGCAGGTTATTTAATTTGACCAAAGTCACAGAACTTTATGTTTACGTGTGTTTGTTTTTAAGGAAGGAGGCCTCATCACATTAGACCAGTCATCAACCAGCATGGTGCCAGGGGCTGGGGCTGTGTTGACACGTTGGCCCTTGGTTGAGGTAGGAAGCTTAATGCCCAGGGATGGGGGAAGGACAGTCCCCAGATCACCTTGTCACCCTAACGTGAACGACTTGCACAGCACCAGAAGACCACCTGGCACGGCACCTGGGTCTGGGATGGAGGGGTAAGAGGGGAGAAGATGACATTCTTTGGAGGGGCCTGCTGAGCCTAGGAGGGCTTCCCAGAGGTGGAGAGCTGGGAGGAATTAGATAAGCAAGAGGGAAGTTGCTTCCTTGGGGAATGGAAGCCTTGGTTTTCAGTTTGTTCTTTGTTTTCATTTCATCATCCTTCCCCACTTGGGTCATGGGTCCCCAGGGCCTGAGGCAGCTGTTGGTATTTATGGTCCTGGGTGGAGGTGGGGGAACGAGTCAGAAGCTAGTCCCACACTCGGCGGTGTGATCTGTGGGACCAAGGGGACGCACGGGCCGTGTTCACACATGTGAGGAGGAGACTGGCACAGACTGAGCTCGCAGGGAAGGGACAGCACAGCACGGCCGGGGCCTCGGTGGTTCTCCAGAGTCTTCCTAGTGGAGGAGCTGAGTGCCGGGCCGTGGGCCAGATGGGGCTGCTGCTGTGCTCCTGCCTGGGGGTGCTTTACTTGGGGGAGCTGAGGGGACCTTAGGGTTTGGGGTGTCATTCTCCTTAATCTTCCTGAGCGGCCGGGCTGGGCTCGGCGGTTTCTCCTGGGGACCAGGAAGGGACGGAGAGCTGTCCCCGCTCAGCAGCAGCAGGAGCACTTGGCCCTCAACTCGCTTTCGATTTGCCCAAATCTCATCCTATTCAATGAATGTTCCTCAGATTCTCTTCTTTTAAAATTCAGGGCACTTTGCTCTTCTGCTGAGGTTTATGAATGTTTAAAAACTCCTTTGTGGTCCCAAAAGTCATTTGACAAGTCTGACAGCTATTGATTAAAAACCGGAAATTATTCAGGCTGCGGGATAACTTGGGGGAATAGATGGAAAGTTTTTTGTTTCTTCTCTCTCTGTGTGCCCCTTGCCCTCCCCTCTCCCCCCAAAAAAGATGTAGGGATGTGGGGAGGTAAATGTGTCCCTGAATGTTCTTTGAACACTCCCTTGGGCTGCAGAATTACCCTGGAAAGCGGGGGATGGGGGACGGTCAGGATGCTGAGGGGCGCCTCTCCAGCTCAGGGGCCAGAAGCGGCCCCCTCATGTCCCTGGCCTCTCCCCACGTAAGCAACAGGCAGCAAGGAGGTTTTGCTGATGGGATTCTGGGTGTATGGTCCCTTATGTTAATGGGGAGTTGACATGTTGGGGGTTCGGTCACAGTCTCTGAAGTAGCTCAGCAGGTGAGAAAGCAGCAGCTGTCGCAGTGTCGATTGTTCAGCATACACGGGGCACCCCTGGAGCCAGGCCTCGGGCTGTGCTGTAGCCGTGGCACGTGAGGAGACATCCCATCCTCCTGTCTTGGTTGCCGGCCTGTGGACTCTCCTTTTCCAACTCAGCCCTGCGGTGTCGGGAAGGCTCCCAGGGATAGGGTGAGGCAGGAGACCGGGCACCTCCCAGCCCAGGGCTCAGTGTGAGTGTGCGGATGGGCTCACACTGGTTCTAGTGACTGCTGGGATCTGCCCCTCTGCCTTGGACTGAGAGAGCCCTGGGCCGAGACGGACCAGGCCTCTAGGCCCTGTCATCCCAGGAAGCCTTCCCAGGCAGGGCGGCCAGCCTCCCTGCCTTTTAAGGACAGGCTCTGTCTCCCCAGGGTCCTGGGAGCCACCAGGCAGCTGCATTCTTCTCCCCTCCCCTGGGACCGCAGCGGGGCCAGGAGTGAGCGCTGGCCTCAGCAGCCGGTTCCCAGGCCAGCGGGGCAAGGCCGGGCCTGGGGAGGAGACGGCTCCGCTGGATGTTCTGGGGGGGCGGGGGGCGGGGGGGGCTCTCTGCCTTGTCTGTGTCATGCTGCCTGATTCTCAGGAGCTCAGCGCCCTCCCCCTGACTGTGCCCCGGGACCTGGCTTCTTCTGCTGTGGGCACAGCTCCCTGGATCCGCCTGGCTGTGACAGGTGGAAACATGGTTGGCATGTTCTGACCGACTCCAGAGTCCACGGGTTCTGCCAGCCCTCAAGTGGGCACCTCCTCCGTGGAGACCAACCTTGTCCAGGATTTCTGCCCCGTCCAGGCCTGGTTGTGGCTGTAGGCAGTGGCGTGAGACCACACAGGCGTGCAGGTGAGAGGCCAGGTCTCGGGGTCACAGGCCGAAGGGCT